AGAAAGAAAGAGAAAGAGTGTGAGTGTGTAAGGGAGCGAGAGACAGAGAGATAGAGAGAGACAGAGAGAGAGGGACAGAGAGACAGAGAGAGAAAAAAAGAGAGAGAGAGAGAGAGAGGGAGAGAGAGAGAGTAAAGAGACCTCACTGTACTGTAAATAAAGATGCACCAAGCTATCAACAAATCGAACGGAAGGGGAGGGTACTGAGCGTACTTCATACCTGGGATAGTAGTAGCAGACGAGATACATGGCGTCCTTGACAGCTCGCGTCCTGGTGGTCAGAGAGGGGCAGACAACTGCGCTGCAGCCGATACTGATGGTGTAAGACCATACCATCTGGGGAAGAGGAGGCCAATACTATAAATAATATATGAATATTATAATCAAAAGCCACACATGACTGGTTTCGTTTAGTTTCGTTTTCATGACTGGTTTAGTTTAGTTTCGTTTTCATGACTGGTTTAGTTTAGTTTCGTTTTAGTAAGAGTTATAACAGCACTTGTAACAAAAATAAATCATACAATTTATAATTTGTGCTGAAGATTACAGGTGTTACTAGAGAGTACCATACAAAGAAAAGACGGAAGAGAGATAAGGACGCCATATTATGTTTTGAAAGGAATGATGTGTAAATCACATCAGAGCGCCCACCAACCACCCGCCGTACAACCGGTATAAAAGACTCTTTTATTTGTACGCAAGCTTAACAGACTCTTTGAACAATGTGCAAACAATAATGCTTTTCTGATCATCGAGGAACACTACGCTTGGAGAATGGTCTTTTGCAAGACAACAGTTATGGACATGGAAAATTCACTGGACTAAATCATGCACTGTGACTTCGGTTTGGGTCATATTATGTAGTAGTAAGCATAGCGCACAATATCATATAATACTAAACCATACCATAGCAATTCAGGCTTCACTATCCTACCCTATCTTACTCTACCATACCATACCATGTCACACTGCACCGTGCCCTATGGCAGCACAGCAGATCATTAAGTGTTAGGACATCAGGCGCTTGTCAATTTTTGATCATATGTGGTTATTGGTATCATCTTACAGCCTGTTCATTTGCCTTCCTTTTAGAGAACAAAATATCCATCTATGATGAAGAGAAGTCGAAATATTTGCGATTGAAGGAGGTCAGGGTCGCCTGGTTTAAGAGGTGAAATTAGCGAGAAAACGGCCGCCAGAGTTTGGTAACTTCGATAACTTGAGAGTCCTTGGAAACTGAAAATTTACTTTTTTTATGCCTTTAATCAATGATTTTCAGTAAAATTCTCACAAAAATGTGTTTTTAGATTTACGTAAAAGGTGTTGAGACAAAAAAATAAAATAAAATAAGAATTGGCCGTCAGCCGCCAATTTTTTTTTTATGATAAAAAATGCCGATTTCTTTGATTTCATTTTCTAAATTAAGGAGCGCCTGATTTCACCCCTATAAGATACATTTTATACACAATTATAAGTCTCAACAGAAGCGATTTATAATCAAATACTATTAAATAGCTTATAATTCCTAGCCAGCCAAGTGCAGTGAACTCTAACCTCAAACGTTGAATGTAACGACCAACGACCTGTCTAATCTCTTATTCTTTTTTTTGTATTGGTAAGATTTTTTTCGCCCTTAACCAAAATCAAATCACAAAAAAGCTTCCAGACATAGAGACGGGAGATAACTCGTGCCTGATAACAGTACCAGATACAAACCATAGAGTGGGTAAAGGTGGCAGAGTGTGCTGGCGTAAAAGTATTTCAACCTCTAACTTTCGGGCCCCTTTAAAGGGTTGCATTTTTTTTACTTCCCTTTTCATTTCTCTCTCCTTTTTTTTATTCTCTCCCCAACCCCACCCTCTCTCTCTCTATCTCTCTCTC